ATAAAATATTAGAAATACAATATTGCAGCCTGAACTTATATGACCTTTTATTCTGCAAAATGAGCTTGAGTTATGAATGTCAGAGTGTCCAGTTGAAAAAACGAAAACAATTATTTTATTTTTTTGTCTGTTGTGTATAGAAGTGGATATTTTTGCCACCAGCAGTGCATTGATTATAACAACATGCATCAAATGATGACATTGGTTTGGATGACAGCATGACAGTTGAAATTAAGTCAAAATTAAGTAAAAGAAAAATACATCTTTCATGTATAAACCTTACATAGCTAAAGAAGCTGGAGGTTTTATTATTTTTTTGTATAACAGTGCAAACATGTCAACATGAAAAGCTGCCTTTCTGATCCAAAAAGGTCACACCTTCCCCCGGGTCAGATGACCAGCAGCAACTTCATATTCTTTCACAGCTGACAGGATCAAATATGTGCATTGAATAACAATTTTTTTTCCCCCTCATGAAAGCTCTATCAAGCTGTAAACCTCTGTTTAGATTATTTAGAAATCTTGTACATGTTTAATCAATAAAACTCTTATAATGTCATGCAGGACTTTGTGAATTCTGAAACCTTTTACAAGAACATCTTGTATCAATGTTCATGCAGAGTTTTTAAAGTTTAAACAATACATTGTTTTAAAATGTTATAACCCCTTCAACCTTTTTTATGTTTTTTATTTTATGCTACAGCAAACTTAAATACATTTTGTTGGTATTTTATCTAATAGTGCAACATAAAGGGGTGTATCATTTTTAAGTGAGAGAAATGCATGGCTTTTCTTAAGAATTGTATGTAAATTCAAGTTTTTATAGAACGCTTGTATTGCTGCTATTACAGCTTATGGTATTTTAGGTTATGTGTCAACGTAATTGCAGCATTTAGAAAAAAAATGTCCAATCTGCTTTGCAAAATAGCTTAAACTCGCTTAAATTCAGCAAGAGAATCTATGAACATTAGTTTAAGTTGTTATTCACAATTTGGTGTAGGTATTGAGTTTGACCTGGCCATTTGATCAAATGTCAGTATATTTCAGATCATAACTCTGCTGGATGGTGACAACATCCCGGTGTCAACTCTTTTGCAGCCTCTTACATACTTATTTACTGGATAACCCTGTGTTAAGTGTCAACCATTATCCCTTCATATCTGACCAGCTACCAAGTCTCATCTGAAGAACAACCCTGATGCCAATTTCCCATTTCTGAGTTAAGAGTTTCCAGAGGCACAAGTCTGTGTCCACATTCACTATCAACTTAGGTAGTTTGCTATATCTTGGTGGGTTGAACATACTCTTTTCATGTAAGAAATTAGCTTAACACAGTTTCATGAGAAGTTTATTGCTTGTCATAATGTTTTATATGGTAACTATGCTTGGCATGTCTGCATATTTTATATTGTAGATTTTTTATTGATTTATTATCTTCATTAATGATGTCTAATAAACCTCTAAAGACTTTATATAACAATTGTATTTAGAATGCATAAAACAAAATTCCCAAACAGGTGACTTCTTATTAAAGCTACAATTTGGATGAATATATATATGAATATATATATGAATATATATATATATATATATATATATATATATATATATATATATATATATATATATATATATATATATATATATATATATATATATATATATATATATATATATATATATATATATATATATATATATGTAAATCTGTAAAAGAGAAGCATTTTCCTTTCACTTTTCACTTACAAACCCTAATAAAATACACTTTAGTGTTTGTTATGTTGCACATGGAAAGTTCAAGGATAAATGTCTAAATGTTCCATTTTTGGCTTGGAACATGTATAGTTAAATTTAAAACCGGAAACCATTAATCTCTAAACTAAAAATTTTATGTTTGCATGCTTTTGGAGTAGATTTTTCTGGTTTGTTGAAATAATAAACATAATCTAATGCCTGACTGAAAGCAGACTGAAAGCAAATAAAATTATAATAATATATTAAACATATTGTATTGCCAGAGAAACATTATAAGTGGTCCTAAATGTATTGTTCTGTTATTCACTCGATTAAAATCTGCAAAGACCGATTTCCAAACAAATCGAAATCCACCATCTTTTCTTTAAGGTACAGTACCATAATCTGTCAGAGCCACCTTTTGATAATGTAGAGTTATGAGCTATATGCTGGCAGCTCCTGAGGATTCTGTTCATTCAGATGAGTTATTGCAACAATATCAACCTGTATTAGGTCCCACTTTTGATGTTATGTTCCTTAATGTGTGGAAATACAAATCTGCAGGAAGGAAGATCCAGGATGAGGAATCTACTTAATACTGGTTGTTTAGAATTGTAAATTCATATCATGGGTACCACTGTATTATTTATTTCATGTATAAAATCATGCATGTCTTTTTTTTTCTAAATGGACAAGGCTTGAACAAAGGAGGAAATCCTAGCTGCGGAAGAACAGTGAAAATAAGGTCGAGTGTCGGAGCCCTGAGTGAGTGAACACAACTCCTTCAGCACGCAGGGTTGGTGGGAGGAGTGATGCTTCCCTCCAGATGGAAACCCTTTTCACTTTGACTTTTGCTTTGTTATTGCTCCCTTCTTTGTAAAACAGCTGGTCTGTTTGGTTCTAATTTAGATAGTGAAAATGCTTCTCCAGATAATCATCTCTGCATTAATAAATACTTTTTTGTGTGTTCAGAATTTTTATATAACTAATACTAGGGTATTTTAAAATGAAATTAAAAAATGCATTTGTTTAATTATTCTTATTCTTATCCCATTATCAAATTAAGCATCCTAAATCCAAGTGAATCATCTCCTGCTGGTTTGCCACATATTTTCATTTGTGAAAATATTATCCCTTGATTTTATAAGCCATCTTTTCTTATTGTTAGACATAATTTAAAGTGAATTAAATCTCCCATTTGAATCTTCAACAAAAGTTTTGCCCTTTGAATTAAGATACTTGATATTGTTTGAGTCAAAGTCACTGCAGAAGAATGGAAACATGTATTGTGTTTGCAAAAGAAGAGTGATTGGATACAGTCTCAAAATAGGCATTGATTGGTGACAGTAATATAATGGTAAACTAAATCAGACATTGGGGGTCTCCGCATCAGATAAGCATTTTTGATAGAGGTTCAATTTCACAATTTATCTTAGAGAAGAGTCCTCTGTAAGATCTTAAAGTCATTAATCATTTATTAAAGATCCAATCATGACATCATACGGATTACCATTCAGAATGCAAACCAGACAGTATGTAATTTCTCATTATAACTGTGATGTCATTTCAATAGCCATTGGAAGACATTTATGTTTAAATGTCTACATTAGGTGAAACATAACGTTCTGCAGAAGGACACTTTATTTTACACTAACCAGGTGGAAACTGCCTGGGCTAGCTGCATGTCAACATGTGTTCCTTTCTCATTTCTAATGGATGGGGGTCATGGTAACTTCCTTTACTTTATCTATAGGCTATAAGCTTAAAATAAAGCAGGATGTTGAACTGATACTGAGAGGAGAAAAGTAGTGGCTATTATATTTGACTTAATTTAAAAATGTAAAATTGGTCTCACAGATACTGTCATTAGAGTGGTAGAGCTGCAGAAGGAGAGAGATAGTGTCCCTTAAGCATATATGTTTTAGTGTTCCCCAGTTGACTTTCAAACAATATAAACCAGATTCTTAGTGACAGGATTTTGATTTTTAAAAATCAGCTAAATTATACTATGATCATTGAACCAGGTCATGGTCAACCCTGGTCATAGTGAGAGCAGGAACTGAGTACAGATGGAAATCAAAATCAGCCTCAGCATAAAGCTTTCAAGCAGAGGGAAGCATGAAGTGCTCAAATATTGACTGTTGAGCTGACTTTGGACCTACTGAAACACACTGGGAGAATAGTGGATGAGATGGCTCACCAAATCATCACTGATAAGTGAAATTCACACTGAACCTCAAGGAGCTTGGAATGTGCTCCAGTGAAGGTTCAGCTCCTCTTTTAAGGATTTTTTTTTAATAAAAAGAAACCAAAAGAAATATTTAAAGAGAGTTTTTGTGCAACAGGCAAGTCATTTTTCTTTTTTACCCAGACCAAGCACTCTCATGGTCTCTGGGTCAGGATTGGTCAATTAACAGGATTGTGATCCATATTACTAGTGCAACCTCATATAACAGAATTTTTTCCTTCCCCCATTTTTGTTTTTGTTTTGTTAATATGCTTAGAAATAAACCAACATCTGTAACATTGACAGTTCTTTTTGCTCACAATTCTTGTGGATGGTGTTATTTACTGATTGAAAACTCATGTCACTATTCCTCCTCATGGTTGTGTGAGATACAAAATAAAGTGCCTATATTGAAAACTATCTAAACTGATTTTTTTAATTTTTAATGCTGTGAAAAGCTTGTTTTACTTGCTCTAAAATAATAATGAAAGTAAGCATAGTGATTATTCCGGAGTTCTGCATCAAACCAGCTGATTGGGAGAGATGTAGTGAATTATTAGTGAGATTTTTTTTTTTCCAGTGAATGTATGGATTTTTGCACACACACAGCATGGTTGTGAAGCTAATTTGACTGGAATAAAATAAGTGATAGAAAACCTGTGAAAACCGCAGCTTGGTTCTTTATAGTCACAGATATGTGTGAATGAAGCTGGGAACACGATTAATGTCAAAGTAACCAGTGATTATCTTAAACACTGCTTCCTTAAACAAATGACCAAAGCAGATATAGTCTCCAACCTGCGCTCAAAATTCTAAGCCTAAAGTGCCAAGGTAAGGGCATTTCAATCACTCAAAGCCAGCATAATAAATGCCTCTAATCTAAGAATAAAAAAAATATAAAACAGAGCATGTAATTAGGGCATTTATCAACCAGAATGTTTTCAACACCACATTGGAGAAAGTTAACCTCAAAGCCCTGACAATGTTAAAGAGCCCAGTTACAGGGTCATCAGGAGCAATGAGGTCATCACAGCCTTACCTAATGGAGGTTTTGGTCCTAGTGTCCGATTCAGCGAAGCGTCTCTAACTTCTTTCCTTTCAGGGGTCTGTTTGTTTGAAGTCAGCATGCAGAAAAGTTGCTCCCTCTTGGTCTCAGCATGCTCGTTGTGGACATAGATGGCCAGCAGCTACTGCTAATATTCAGATGGTCCTTCTTTGTTTGCAGAAAAATGTAGAGTGTAAAGCTATTGATTGGGTGCCTGGGCACCTGTATATGTTTTGGTGAGATAATCCTAGAATTCCAGGTATTTCCAAGGTTTTCTAAAGCTATGTAGTTTGGGATTTAGGGACTCCCGGGTCACATGAACATCATATCAAGATGCTGCCATCGCCTAGAAGAAGAAAGGAAAAAAAGAGACAGAAATTAAAGATTTAGAAATATTTTTTTAACACTTGGAAACCCTTACCAAAAAAAAAAAATAAAAATAATAATAACTTCCATGGCAATCCTCCTAGAGGCCCATTTTCAGTACCTCATCCCAGAAATATGAGCACATAATAGATGTCTTTCAGTGGAGGAAAACCAGAGCAGTATGATTTTCATCAAGACTTCAAAATTAATCATCTGTTTTCAGAGTCAACAAAATTAATCTATAATTATTTGGATGCTACCACTGCTGGACAGCTTCGCATGATTTCAAGATTATATGTAATAGCAATTGAACTGCTGTGAGTAATTTCTTTTCTCATATCACTGAAGACTTTTCAGATGAGAAATGAAAAAGAAAGAGAGATTTGAAGAGTAACTTAATTTCCCTGTAACACGAACAAGTCATATTCTTGTAATTGCATATATAATTGTCTGTTCTGCAGTGGATCTCCAGTATATGACAACATAGTCTCATAGACAAAACTTATTTATTTAACTGTCAATTCCAGCAATAATAATAATAAAAACGTGTCTTAAAAAAGACTTTGAATTCCACGAGGGCCTAGTTTGTGAGGCTGGGTAAATATGCTTGTCAAATGTTCCAACAGTTCCACAGCGACGGAGAGTTAGTTTGGGAATACATTCGAGATCAGCAGACAGCTTGTGATAACTGAACAGCTCTTTTGAAGCTACATCCATTTGGAAGCACTGTGCAATGGTTTTTACCTCGGTGGTTAGGCTGGAGTTAAAGTCTGCGTTTAATTGTTCCCCAGAGTTCTTAACGTGGCTCTGATAAGGAGCTCTGGGAGCAACATTTAAAACTACAGCTGAAGAATATCTAGTGTCTCTGGCTGCAGGTCTGATAGAGAGAGTGACGATAGAGTATCCACAAAGCAAAGAAAAACAAAAGATCTGTTAGAATGGGAGAAAAAAAAACAGGCTGATAAAAGCAGAGGTTTAGGGTCAGTGTGAGCTCCAGCTACATGTTGCATTTGTCTCTCCTAACTTCAGCTTCTCAGAATCTACTTGAAATACCAGTTTCAACAATCTTTCTTTCAAGCTTTCTTAAATAGAGAGGGTAAAGTGTCTCACTTGCTAATCAATAACTTAATTATTTTTATGACATGATTATGTCAGCAGTTAGAGCAGAAAAGGAGCAGTGCTGTTAATTTGTCACCCCTGCCTTCCTGTCTCTCATGCTCCATCCAAGGCCACGACTTACAGGGTTTGTCGGGGGCAACCTGTGGGAGTGTGTGTGTGTCAGATCAATAGCCCACCCACAGCAGAGCCGCGGGCGATCCCTGACCTGGGATATTGATTAGGGCCGCCTCGGCTGCCAATAGCAATGTGCTGGATGTGACACCGGGCTAAATCGGGAGCTGAGGAAGGGGGATTCTGAATTGCCAGTGGCAGCCCTACAGCACAACGCAGATAAAAGTCAATTCCACTTAACCAAATCACTGACAACTAAATAGTTAGCAGATACAAGAATGCACAAAGAGTGTGGTGGCAGCAGCTGGGTGGCTTTAGGGATTTCCCTTCTCCATGTCCTGTGTCAAAAGAGCAGAGACGACCAGAGGAGGCACATGTTTGTTTGTCCTTTACTTTGGTCACAGCTCCGTCTCTTGGTTGCACCTGCCTCATCCATACATTGATTTAAGAGCACTATTTAGACTGAGCATTCATCAGGTGTTTAGTACTCATTGCTGTGTACTAACATCTAAGAAATGTGTACCATATAATGAGAGAGAAAAAAATAGTTTTTGAATGAACAAATAAAACAACCTCTAAAAGCACCTTTTAGATAAGACTTTTAGAGGCAAGTGTTCCTGTTCCTGTGCATTCAGAGGAGCCCTGCTGCAATTGTCAGACTTCTTTCGATCCATTTTGCTCCCAGTCATTACAAGCCAATATTAGAGTAGTTTACATGTCATTTTACCGCTACTTTGCCTCATGAATGTAATTCTGTGGCTACTGATTCTGCAAGCATTCAGCATGTATCTATTACTCCATATCTCTCCTGGTAATTGCTGAGTGACAGAAAGGCAATACTGACTCTTTATTATAAGACAGCTAGACTAACTGGACAGTGGCCTTTTAGCTCTGGGTCATTCAGGCCAGACTGACCTTATCTACCCAGGTCGTTAGGGGTCAGCCACCCAGGAAGTGTTAGGACTTTACTGAGGGTACCGTCAGTGGCGTACAACAAGGTCAGCTGACCGAGGAGAATTGTTCCTATCAGGTATTGATTGCAGTTTGTCTGCTTCAGCTAAGGTTGGACTAATCTCACACTACCAGGGGGCAGAGACTTTGGTGAAAATTTAAGCATCGGAACTAACAGCAGTGATAGTGCAGCTTGCGGATACAAGTGAACATAAGAGAGTTCACCAGAAGAGCTGTGGGAATTTGGGATTTTGAAAAACATTGTGTAAAGAGTGAGATGTAGCAGCGAGACCAACAGTAATTGTTCAATTCTGAAATGTGTGGCATAGACGTAGATGGATGCTGACATTTGGAGTCAAGGGGTGGAGTTGACTTTTGTAATTCAGTCATTCAGAACTTTAGTAAAGTCTATCAATCTTATCTCATTAATAATCCACACATCTAGTTGTGTTTTTGTCATGCATTCTCGATCATTCATTGTGATGCGAAACGCATGAAAATCAGAACCTGATCTTACAAAGGGAGCAGACCTGGACCATGTGCTACATCCCAAAACTCCAATGGGCATGATAAAAAGAAAGATGCAACCGAATAGCCTTTACAGCCACTCTGTTGTCCACTGGTATTATAAATAAAAAAAATAAAAACATAGTTCAACATATTGAGCCGGTACCCTATTTTCTTAGCTATGTTCAAATAGGAGGCAAAACTGATCTTCATTATTTCCCTCAGCTCTCTGCTCAGAAAGTGAATAAATAGAAGAACTGATTATTGCATATAATATATTTGGAAAAAATAACTGATGGGGCGCATATGGGGGTGAAAGCATTACTGATGAAATATTGGCTTCTTTTAGGGAAAGAACATAATAAGGCGTCCAGAATCTACTGTATCATTGGCACCATGCTGTTATTTTCTGCACTTATAAGTTTTCGGGCATGTACATTGCATTGAAATAACATTAATATCTGGCTGGGACTCAGCATTGGCATATGTTTATTCATAAATGAATCAGAGATCAGTATTTTGGATGTTGCAGTTTCACAATCTGTTGTAGCAGATTACAGAAAATAGCATAAGAAAAACTAGATAAAAAAATTTAAATTTAGCCGAAAATGTCCTTCAGATTATTTAAAAAAGTTTATATTTTATTTATTTTAACTTTTGTTTATAAATGCCTCCAATATTTATAAGGTAAACGCAAACAGCAGTATTCAGTCATTGTTCAAACAGCGCTCTATAACTCCTAAAGTTGATACCACTTCTTTGAGCCTGCCATTTCCTTTGCTACAACATGGGGAGACAAATATATAAGATTGTTAGTCAGTAACTATGTGTGTACTTGTGTGTGTTTGTTCCCGTTGGTGTCTGCGCGTGCCCCTTTATGTACATACTAAAGCATCTCTGTTGCTCGTTAACTCTCGTCTCTGCAACTGCTTGCCACCGTACATATTAAATCACATTAATGGCAGATGAGCTCTTGCTCTGGAGAGACAGGCGTCTATTTAGAACTGCGTTTTATTGCACTTTGTTACGTTTAATCAAAAAAATGCTATGTGAAGAGATAACCCGGTTTAAAAAAATCCCAGATAAACAGCAACGATTGCATCTTTAAATAATAAATGACCCTCTGCCTCTTACAGACGGGAATATGAATGAAAATAATTGAAGACAACAATGTCCTATAAGAGCACCGCTCCTGCAGTGCTGATTCAGAATCCCTCATAACTTCAAACGCTCAGTCATAAAGTATGGATAATCCGCAAAAGAAAAGGCAGGCACGGTTGTTTACAATTTCTTTCTAATTAAGGCTACAGGATGGGGTATATGTGTTAAAGTTGATGTGCCTTTGTGAGACTTTCCCCAAAAAACTTTAACTGTTGGCAAATTAGGGGCTGGATAGAAAACGAAAACAAACAACACACTAATAAGATTTGCAGTCAAGAAATAAATATTTCACAGTCTGTCTACATCTGACACACTTTTAGTCAAGAACAAAGAATTCCTGAGAAACAAATTGAAGAAACTTAAAGTTGATACAGTAACCTCTTTGACCTGCATTAATTCAGCATGTAACTGTGAATATAGCTTGTCCTCAGCTGTAGAGCTGTTATTTTAACTTAATAAACTTGCTATTGGAAGGTATGGCAGGGATGCTGTGAAGCACATTACTAATTTACACAAAACTACATGGATAGTCATATTGAAATGGTGCGATTTTGAAATTTCCATTAATCCTAATGTTGCTTTTTGTACAGGCATTCACAGAAATTGCCCATATACCTTTAAAGGGCCAGATGTAAGAGTAAAGAAAGTGAAGCCAAAAGTGTGTAGATAAAAGTAATTAAGTAAGTAAGGTTTATTTATATAGCAACTTTCTCTGACAAGGGTCGCAAAGTGCTGTACAATAAGAGGCATTAAATACAAAACAGCACCATATGAAATACATATAGTAAAAAATAAAAACAATCAATCAGATAAAAGTTATTTTTTTCTCTTATTTTCTTTTCTGCAAAGATGAGAGCATTCTGCTGTGTGTCTAAGAAGGTTAAGGTAGTGCTTGATGATTAATCACTGGACATAATAAAGCTTCTCACCATGAGTGCACAGTCCAGCTGATTCTGTGATATGATTGAGGCCGATCAGAAAAGAGAAATAATCATTCCTGACAGTGCATTCATGGCACACTTTATTGACATGCTCTGATTAGACCTTGTGGAGAAGATAATACAGTCTTTCTTTGGAGTGCCTTCTAAGATTATTTCTTTAACTTCATGGAAAATGAGGAGGGGGCATGGG